GCCTAGTGAGGCCTGCTCCCACACACCGGGCAATTTTTTTCCCTCTTACTAGGGCAAATTTGTTCTTGTTTCTTGACCTGTGTGCTCAATAAAATGCTGTTCGCTTCTCTCAGATCTCCACAGGGACGGCTCCTTCTTCGCCTCTGGGTTCTAGTCTAAATATCACCTCCTTAGAGAGACCCACAGTGACCAAAGTCTCAAAAGCAGAAACCTCCCATAACTCTCCATTACTCTGTAATCACAGCTGTTACAATCTAAACCGACTAATTCACATTTTAACTTACATTATCCTTGCCATTTGCTGATTATTTTTTGTTCACGTGAAGAGATAGTTCACCTTCTACCACCACCCAATACAGAGAAGGTAATCCACAAATACTTGTTGAATGGATCTCTGGTGGATCTCTGGGCCCCTGAAACTAACTTGGGAGTTATTCCCGGGAGGCTACAGATTCCTCCTAAGAACAGACCTAAAGGAAATAACTTGTTCATCTGGGAATGGATACTGTGATGCACTGAGCCATGATGTGTGCATGGGTAATGATCTGGCATGGAGTGGTCAAGGCATCAGGATGGCGATACTTACATGACGGTGCCGGTACTCCTCCGGCTAATTTTAATGCCAAATGGATCCTCTGTAATGAGGACATCATAGAGTCTACTTTCGGTGGTACTGGATGGAACGGTGGGTAAGTTGAGAGGAACTGGGACTTCATACCGTTTGTTGTTGGGATCATAAATCTAGGAGCAGAGGAGATATATATCAGGAAAGTATAATACCCTTGAAATCTACACCCCCGATGTCTTAGACAGCATCTAAATGTTATATTCCTGTGTCTTCTTTAGGTTCACAATACCAACCCTGTATTTAATTAACATATCAAAGAACAATGTTAGATTCAGCATTTGATCTGTGTCTGTCCCATCTAATGTTAAAGGCCTCTGCTACATGGGCATATTTGCTCTGACCCTGGCACTCTTGGAAATTCATTCTGGAATCAATTTGGTATTTATGAATATATTATTTACTGCTTTGTGCGTAGATGTACAAATGTATATGATGACCTGAAGGTGTTTCTGAATTGAGAAATACTCACCCCCAAAACATGAACTCTACTAGATTCAAGTAATCACCCACGTCCTTGCTAAACTGACTCACTGAGCGCCTATTATATTCCTGCCTACCATGCTCCCAGACATTGGGGCAACCAAACTGAGGAAGACATGGTTGCTATTTTTTAAGTAACCCACATGCTAGTAGAAGAAAGGGAGGTACCCCAAGACCTACGTGAGAGCATAAAGGCAGATCAGTATAGAGTGTGGTGAGGCCCTCCCTGGTGGCGCAACGGGTCAGGACACAGCACGGCAAGCTAGTCACAGCCACTTCAATGTGAGTTAGATCCCCGGCCCTGGAGGTGACCACATGGTGTGGCAGACCTCTCCTGACCTGCCCGCTGCTCCCCTCAGCAGTGTACTTTGTCCATCTCCCAGTTCTGCTCCCCACTCTGTCTCTGGTGAAGCCTCTCACTGCCCCTGCACCTCTGGCCTGTAGCCCAGTTATGTGTGCATAAATAAATATATATATATATATATTTTTAATTACTCTGATATTACAGGGAAAGGGATGCCCAACACTTTTCTGGAAGACTGGGATGCTGCTTGGGAAAAGTACAGCTTGAGTCTTGAAAGCTCTGCATTCACTAATCAGAGAAAGAGGATCAGTCATCCCTGGTAGAGAAATAAATGCGAAGGCACAGAGTAATACAGTGGGCTGTAGAGAGGCGAATGTTACAGAGAGAGCTAGCACATGGCCAGGCGGTAGAGCAAGAGGCGTGACAGCCAGAAACCCAGGCAAGCTCAGTTACGTCAAGCAAGCATGTGTCTCCAAACGCAGTGCCTGGTAAGCACAGGAGTAGAAAAGAGAACCGTCCCTGCATTCGAAGATCGAAAGAACTCGACCCAGGGTGTTGTCAAAATGTGAAGAACAGGAGGCAATGCCTCTCTGGCCTGAGGTGGCTCAGTCACGCTTCACAGACAGCTGAGGGCAGCTGCGGGGCTCTGGGTCAGACTCCAGGAACCCAAAGACCACACAGTAGAGGATCCCTGTCTTTGAGAGATTCACCTTTTAGTAGAGGAAGAGAAGCTGACATAGAAATGGCCCATCCCAGGTCCTTGGAGGTGATTAAATTAGAGGAAAAGAATGCCTGAGCCTTCATGGGTATTTCACGGATATCCCAAATTCTGGTTCCCAAACTGAGCTCATCCCCTTATTTTGCCTAAGTCCAAATCTTCTCAGTGATCCTGTTCCAATTAATGACATCACTACCGCTGTAGAGATGTAAGAAACCTGGAGACATTCTTGATGCAGACCTCTCAGCAACTAGTTCCAATCAATCACCAGATTCTATCATCCCACCCTCTTGAACTCTCAAAGATGGACATGGCTTCCGTTTCCTTTCCTGTACTTGGCCTCAGCTGGCACCCTCACAGGGACAACCTAACAGGGAGCTTCCTAGTTATCTCTCCTTTTTCACTCTTGGCCTCTCAACCATTTCCTCTACACAGCCATCTTCCGAAGCTGCAAATTAGAGCAGGTCTCACTGTCCCATCAGTAGTTTCTGATTGCTCTTAGGATAAGGATCTCGTGCATGGCAATGTGGGTAATGTAGAAGAGCATGGTTCAGGTTCTGTCACCTAAACTAGCAAAAGGTGACAGAACAGAGAAGGGCCTGGTCATCACTTGACACGCAGACACCTACCTTAAACTGCAACATGTGGTCCTTGTGGAAGGTCACCTTCAGGTGGAGGGGGGACACCGGTGTTGAAGGAAAAGCATAGGCGTTAGATGAAGGCTTTAAGGAGAGGACAGCGGAGGCCCCGTGGGAGTCATACTGAATATTCCTGACGGAATACAGCTCATTGACGAAATAACAAAACGGCACTCCCGCAACAGAGGATTCCTGAAAAGTAAAGGCAAAGTACGCTCAGAGAGAGGATTATCACAGAGAACGGGGTTAGACAAGGCAACTGGCAGGGAGGTAAAGTCCAGCTATCACTCATTCCCTCACATGTTCTCAGGTAGTGACATGCTTTCAATTCCTGGTCTCCATGTTTAGTATTTGTGTACACACACACACACACACACACACAAAACAGTGCGCGTTTCTGTTGCTACCTACCCTTCACATCCAAATACTCAGGTTTCTTTGAAAGTCCTCTCTTGCTACTGATTTTAGGGAATGAGATAAGCCCAGTGCTATGCTCCAGATTCATTACAGACCAACCCTAAAGGGATTTCATGGGCATGCACACCCTTGGCAGGGTTACCTTCCAGACACAGCCCCGGCTGACACAGCTGGACTGACTAGCACCATGCTCATCTGGATAACAATCTATCTTTTCTTCTTCCTTGAAGGCTTCCGGAATGGTCCACTCCACTGTGTATGCTTTTCCCAGGTCAAGATTAAGGCCTGTGATATGGGCAACCTGATGGAATGAGGAAAGGACAAGGAAATTTAGCTTTAAGACAAAGGCCTTGCAAGATGGGCAACTTCTGTTAGGAAGGGCAATAGAAACAGACCAGGAAATCTGGACAACCCCGGGAGCACGCCACCAGAGTGTCTACAGAGTGACACAGGGGAGGAGGACATCCATTTGGCAACAAGACAAATGTCACAACTGTATCAGAGCCCTGCGCGTGACACAGTGAAACACTGCATCAATAAAACCTGTGGTCACTCCTTTTCCGGTTCCCCCGTGCCTCCTTCGTCAAGAAGGTTCTCTTCTGCACGCCCCTTGTAGATGAACACACACAACACAGCCCAGGTTGAGCTGATCTTGCCCTCCTCCCAGCCGCCCCACCCCCACCCCCAAGCTGTGTCTCCCTAGGGTAGTGGCAAGAAAACAGGAATAAAAATCAGAAAGTCCTGGCCCGCCCTGGTGGTGCAGTGGGTTAAAGCACAGCACTGGGAAGCTAAAGCCACTTCAGCATGAGTTCGATCTCCACCTGCCCCAGAGGCAACCTACATGGCGCGGCAGACCTCTCCTGACCCACCCTCTGTGCAGTGGACTTCATCGGTCAGCCTGTTCTGCTCCCCACTGTCTCTGGTGAAGCCTCTCACCGCCCCTGCACCTCTGACATGTACTCAGTTCTGTATCCATAAATAAATAGATCTTTACAAAATAAATAAATAAATAATAAAATAAGTTGCTGTTCAAAAAATGCATTTCAAATGTTAATTAATGGGGTGTTTTACCCTCCTGGCATCAGCCAGCAGCATCAGAGCCACCTTCATCTAACCCTGTTTCCCGCACTCCGTAACTCTGTTTTCCTTCTGTGCCAACCAAAGGAGACAAAGACTGAGGCCCAAATGAGGAATAAGGATGAAAGGAGACTTGTGCCTTCTCCCAGTTTCTCAGCCACTCCCTGGCCCACCTGTCACCCACCCTCCTCATTCTTCTCTTCTAGCCGGCCACCTTCCCCACCCCAGGCCTCAGAGTGTGCTCCGGCCCTTCAGGAATCCATGCAATCTTGGCAAGAGAGAGCACCATCAGCTATGAGAAATTACGGGTAAATTGGCTCTGCCGGATGGTTTTTACCTTAAGGTCAGCATTGTAGGTGACTTTAGGAGACATCGGAATCAGGACGTTGTCTTGTTTCACTATAACGCCCTTAAGTTCCTGGGTCCCAAAGACTTTAATCTCTTTAAATACCAAATTGTTAGGGTCTCTGTAGGTTGAATGTAGAATCTTCATATCTAGGCGGTTCTGCAAAAGCAATGCAGGGCAAGGTTTGCCTGTGGCACATGGATTCTCAGGCCACTTGGGGGAGGTGCGGCCTAGAACAGCTTCCGCACAGAAGCTCAGAGTGGCTCTTAGCCTGTTTGTAACGCGCGCTCCGTGAGCACAGACTGATTTTAAATATTTTACTTTTAATGAATTTATTTCCATACACCTCTGAGCAAGAGGTAGAGATAGAGACACAGAGAACCGAGGCAGACACAAGAGAGAGAAAGAGACAGAAACACGCAGGCACAGAGAAAGTCTTTTAAACTGCATTTGAAAAGATGGCTTTGATTAATCCACATCATGGCTGCTTTGAACTGACATGGATCATTCCGTTCTTGGGAATCCAGTCATAGGTATGCTCACTTACAGTCATAAATGCCTACAGAGCTCCAAATACAATCACATACACACGCTAATCGTCACCAGGAATGCCCACATCTGAGATTCAGAAACACCTGCTACTCACTTGGGTGAAGGAAAATTCATACAGGAGGTAATTTTTGCTGGCCACAGTATCTGTAAGTCAAAGAACGATGAGTCAGACTCGCCTGCCCAATGGGGAACGGATCTCAGCCTGGCCTTCCCTGGGGCTCCATCCCGAGAATGACAAGACTATGGACCGAGTCTCCAAGCCCTCACCACTGTTTGCCCATCTCCTTCGCACCTTCACCTTGAAAAGGTCAAATACATCCCAGTCCCATGTCTGAGGAGTCTGCTCCCGGCGCCCCAGCCACAATGCTGTTGGGTCACTGGCGCCTGAAACACGTGCTAAGAAGCATAGTCTAGAGACAGTGTTTCCTCCAGTCTCACTGGCTTGGGTGTGTTTTCCATACTGTCATGGTGTTTCTGTGTACTTACTGGGAAGACTTGCCCATCGAGAGGCAGGAAGAGTCTTGGAAACGCTTTCAGTTCCCTACTGCCCATCAAGCAAGAGTCTCTATATTGTGACCAATGGGAGGATTCTGAGTGGTAGAAATGTGCTTTCTTTTCATCTGTGGGCCACCACCCACCACCCATCAACCGTGCAACTAAAGTCCCTTTCGGGGGGTGGGGGACAGGGCGGTGCATGCTGCATGCAGGTGAGACTCCCCACTGAGTGCCCAGCAGGTGCAACTCAAAGACGCAGGTGCCGAAGCAGCAATGCTCTCATCACGGTGCTCACCTCTTGTTTCCCCGTCATCCCAGAAAAGCTCTCCTTTTGCTTCTTGATTATCATCCAGGGCAATGATGAGAGCTAGCGGGTTCCGCCGACTGTGGGAAACAAGACAGATGTCAGGGACAAAAACTCAGGACTCATCTCTCAAAGGAGCTGGTTATGACCCCAGCAGATTTTAAGTTGGCAAAGGCCACCAGTTCTGCTCTTCTGTAGGCACAAAGGCACAACCAGCAGGCAACTGTCCCGCTAGAATCAATCACGTCATGGGAGCCAGAACTACCCAGAAGATCAGTCAAAACCATTTCTGTAGGTTAGCATCTGAGCAACAAGTGATCACTGTCATCACTCATGAAATTTGCTGATGCAACTATTATTTAGGATCCAGAGATCAGAGGAGGAAGAAATGCTCATCAATATGTGGTCAGCTGAGTGATTTAGACGGTAAACACAGAAGTGCTAGCTCTGGTTGGGGGATGTGGAGCAGAGACATTCTTTTCCCCGCCTGAAGACCATTTTGATTGAGAAAAGAATCAAGTGCTATGGCGCATCTACAGGATGGCGGCTTTCCTGGTTTGGTTATTTGTTCTCAGTTTGTTTGGGGGAGGAAAAGAAAGCATTCTAGTTGCCTGCTTTGCCATTCAGACTAGGAAACACCAAGAGATGCTGAGAAGATGCTGAAATAGCTGGATACCGAGAATGGAAAAAGGCAGAGGCATTTCGTTTGGAGCTCCGCCTCATCTCACCACTCCTCTGCGGACCCCCCAGTTCCTGCACCTGCTGCAGCCTCCACTGATTTCACATCCCCTCCCCACCATTTCCTTTCCCAGTTCAGGTTCGCCAGGGCCTGTGCAAGCCAGATGCCAACATCAGTAAAACCACCTGGTGTACTTAACATGCAAGTACTGAGTGACTCTCATTTGCCACAAAGTCTGAGCGGCAGAAAGGGATAGACCCCACTTGTGTGGATAACCTTACGTATTCTTGGAGTCAACACAGTCACCAAAGCATGAAGGCAGGAAGTAAGAGAGACACAAAAGCTATAGTATGTACAGACTTCCAGAATGGCACCGGACGCTCCTGGCCGTCCAGCAGCCTACACATCCTGGAGGACCCTAAACATTCTGAAAGACCTCCACTTAAGTGCCCTTGGTCCTGGATGAAGTGCAGCACATGACCCGTGAAGGGAGTTAGTGTGAAGCTGTGGCCACTCCTGGATTTTGCTGAGGAGAAGCCAAATTATCTCTGGAGCACTGGGATCCTTCAGATCTTCTCAGTGGAAGCACAGAAAGTGCTACACATACAAGGTAAGAAGGCAGCTTAAAAGAAAAGCTGACAGAAACAATAGATTTAGATTCCCCCAAGGACATTTGAGACTAGTACCTTCAAATACAGAATATGAAATACCTATGATTGAAATAGTTAACAACATTGCACTGGCAAGAAAGAAGTCAGCTAAAAGGCAAAGTGCACTTTTTTAGGGCCTCCCTGGTGGTGCAAGGGGTTAAGTCTCAGCACTATGAAGCTGTCCACAGCCACTGCAGCACAAGTTGGATCCCAGACAGGGAGGTGACCCACAGGGTGCAGCAGACCTCTCCTGTCTTCCCACTGCTCCCCTCAGCAGTGTGTTTCAGTAGATGCATCTGTTCTGCTCCCCACTCCCCACTCTATCTCTAGGGAATCTCCTCACATCCCACACCTCTGGCCTATACCCCAGATTTTGTATGCATAAATAAATAAATCTTTTTTTAAGTGTCTTTTTAAGTGACCAGAAGGCTGGAAGTGGGCTCTCTGCTTCTGCTTAAAGAGTTGGCAAGTGACGGAAGAGTTTCATTTGGAGGACCATGATGCTTCCAAAGAAAAACTCATTGATTATCTTGGGAAGTTCTTAAGGCACCAGAGCATTACTCGGAATACAGATGAAAGGAAAAACTTAACCCTTTCTTTGCCTTTCCTGCACAATCTGAATTTCAGGCAACCCAAGCAGTTTATGAGAGTTAAGTTCATTATAAACAGAATTCCAGTGAATAAACATAAGAGGAATGACAGATTTAGATCATCACCTTTTAGCAACCTCTAAAACTAAGCTTCAAGCATCTGTAATGCGCAGGTGCATTAGGGAAAAGGTAGAAAGGTAAGCTGACTCTACTTGAGCACACGAACCAATCTTCATCATGCATCTAGACGTGACACAGTGGTTTTACACACCATCACCTACAAAGAATACCCGCCGTTGAGCCTGAGTCAAATCAAGTCTCTGCATCTGGCAATCAGAGTAGAGAGACATGTAGAATAGAGAGGAGTGAACCAAAGCACATCAAGTAAGAAGTTGGTCCAGAAAGTGGGACCCTCTACTGAACAAATGACCTGCTCTTGCTATCAAAAAAAAAAATGGCATGGAAAAAGAAGGGAGAAGATACTAACATAAAATAAAATAGATTTAAAGTGGAAAAAAATAAGAATGTCTACCTGGCCAAGTATCCCAGCAAGGGTAATAAACACAGAAGCCCAACACAGTGAAGGAGATGGGAATGTTGGGAAGAGCAAGGTTTTGCTGTGGCTGATCTACAGAGTCATACAGGTGGAGACGCAGTGGTTAAATAATTTGGAGCCAGATCGTGACAGGCCTTGAACCCCCTGCTCCTGAAAGACTTTGGGATTCAAGCAGGGCAATGACAAGTTGAGATCTTCATTTCAGAAGACAAATTTGGTACCATGCAAGACTGAAACCATCAGAGAAAAGGAAACAGCTGGGGTTAGCTGTGATGTATGTGTATGCACCATCAATTTCATAAAAAGTCTACAACTTGAAAAAAACTTTTGGAAAGGAAGTTCAAAAGACAGAATGAGCTCAGAGTCTGCTCAAAGCAAGTGAGCTAATACTTTTAGAGACAGATGTAAGTGTGTGCCTCCTTAGTACATTAGAATCTATCACTTCAGCATCAAAAGTAGCTTATGAGATCAAAAATTCCTGAGAGGAGAAACCAGGGATATGAGGTTTGTAAGAAGTAACTTTTGAACTGTGGTTTGCATCACAAGAAAGAAATGGCTCAGTGGGAGAAACGGAAAGGGGAACTGAAATGATGGAAGGAGAGTGGCCCCACGCCCGAGGGATGAGAATGAGTGAGCGAAGAGCCTGGCAGAATGGATGGTTGGCCTCTGTGAGGAAGCCTGAGTAGCCCACAGACCCCATTTTCCAGGAATTGGGCGGTTTCCCAAGACGTGAAACTCTCAGTGCTAAAATTGCAGTGGTCCAGGAAATTCTGGAAAGTTCACTGTCTGACCAGTATTTTGAGGAGAAATTCAAGGGAGTTAGGATGACTGGCTTAGGGTCTTTCAAAATCCAGCTGGATACAGCCCTAGCCACAGCTTCCTCAGAAGGAGTTGAGGGAAACCCAAGCACGGAGTCTGAGGACCACACTCACACCCAGCCACTGTCTCCCTGTCCGTGTCAAGCTTCAGCATCTTCTAGTGGTTAACAGAAGCAGACTCCGGCTTTGAGGCAAGTCCCCAGCTTACTGTACCTGGCCACAGTGGTTGTGGCTGGCTCTTGTGTGGGGAAGATGTAGCCTCCTCGAAGGTGCAGGCCAATTTTGTCTGCAGGAAGGTTCATCACCACTTGCTGCTTCCTCTCCTGTACTCGCTTGCCCTGTGGACACATCAAACATGGTGGCCGGCAGCTTACACACCTCCCCCCCCTGCCGGTGCTAAGTCATCTGCAATACTTCCCTTCTGTTCCCCAAAACTGAACGACTAGCCGTTCAATCAAACAAAAGAGGGGAAAATCTAGATCAACAGGTTTTATCATCTGTTGGGAATTTTTAAGAACATTTTTATCGCACTGAGGCTACTTGAACTGAACATTTAACTAAACAAGTAATCTGGCCAATATTTGCTCATGAAACAATGTACCTGAGCCTTTATGTTGTTGCTCAGTAAAAGTAAAAGAATATGGAAGTCCCTTCCAGATTTCATCATGATTACTATAAAGTGATAACATCTTGCTTTATCAGCTGTAAAATTGAGACACTCCTCAGTGCAAGGATGGAGGGTACTCTCTCCATGGGGGGTATCTACTGTAATGTGGCTGCTACCGTGGTCTCAAGGAGTCAAAGAAAAGTCAAAGCTACTTACAGTCTCATAATCATACCAGATGGCATCAGGTATATATGCCGTCACAGTCTCTGCACCCTGAAATTAAAAAAGGAAAATCTGGTTTTCCACGGCTCAACATCTGAACAGGATGAAATAGGTGTCTTAATCTCCCCCAGCGAACTTATTAACCAGCTACTGAAAATGCATAATGATCTTCCTCATCTTTGTCATCAAACTATACCTTTCTTCCACTAGGAACAAGAGAAACAATAACTGGGCAACCCAGAGAAAAATCCCAAGTGGACCCATGCTCATGATGGCAAAGATGAAACGTGCTGTGAAACTTCAGTTTTGTGATGAACAACTCACCTCACCTTCCCAACAGTCCCCAGGGGCAGGTACTGTTCATCTCTCACCTTCACTGCTACAGAACTTGCCCAGAATCATGCCAGTGCCAAGTGGCAGAGGTAACAATGGTGCCCCGGTTGGTGTGACCTTAGAGGGAGTGCCGGGCCCTGGCCTGTGCCACCTCTAAACCATTGGGCAGGTAAACGCACTGATGCGTGACAAGAATCTCATGAAACAAACAGGATGATCCTTAACTCAGAGTCACCCATGGGTGCTTCTAGACTAGGAACTTGGTCAAGAAAAAGACTTCTGGAGAAGAAAATCTATAAATATCAAATATCCAACTTCCCAAACCCCACACACTCGCTTCAAGATTGGCTCAGCCACACATGTTGAAATGGATGTAGAATAGAGAGAAGCCAAAAAAGTCCAGGAAGAGAGGAGTTTGGAGGGCAGCAGGGACAGAAGGAGAGACCACCAAAGTGTCACTTGCCTCATACAGAACTGGGGTGATGAGGAGACCGGGCCCCCATAAAAACTGTTCGTGCAGTCCCCAAGTGTTGTTGTCCTGGTAGAACCTGGAGATCAGAAAGATGTTCACTGAGATCAGGACGGTGCTCTGACAGCCGGTTCCCAGACACGCCAGCCACCTGACTGGGGGATCCCCATGTTATTCATACTGACTCAACCACACCCCCATTCCTACGGACAGACCCACCTGCCCCAGTTCATGCCCTAGTCCCCATTCTTCCCCGGGGTTGAACTAAGTTCTTATTCCAATGTGAAGCCAGGCAGCTTCCAGACAGAAGTTTCATTTGCGATATCCCCCTTCAAAAATCTAAGTAAAATAAACAACACATTTGAAAACCCAGAAAGAGCTGTATCTGATAATTTTGTACCAAGAAACAACAACCTGGACTAAAAATTGGTCTACGGAACAAATGGAATTAACTCTAACGCCCTTCGTTCTTCGCTCCCTAGCTCCACCTCACATTTGGCCATTCACTGGCTCCGGCTGCACCCCAGAAACCTGAGAAACTGGTCGTGTTGCGTCCCTAACAAAACCCTCTGCGCCCCTTCAAGCTGAAAGTGGCGTCAGAAACAACATCTGCTGGGCAAATCAAATACCCTGGTTCCTGCCACCCCCACTGACTGGCACCTCCTGGAGCCTGAAAATGTGGAGACCCTCATTTCCCTCACCCTCTGCCCCAATACAGTGACAGCACTCCCACCCAGGGAGCCAGCTGTACCCCGACTGTGACTCCTTTGTGGCCACCTCGACAGTAAACCACTCTGTGCCAAAACATCTCTCAAAGCTCAGGGTCTGGCTTTCTGAGCGCCAGAGGCCTGGTCTGCATGGTCACAAACAGTAGACATGTTTGCAGTGTAGCTTCTCTCTTTCAAGTCTCTGCCTTCTAATAGGGAATTGCAAGAGGTAGTGTAACTTTCCCCAAATAACGATTCCATATTAACAGTACAGATAAGAGTGCAGGGGCTGAGACTGTCAGAGACATTAGTGTGTTATCGCTATTCTGACAAGGAAAGACTCCACGTGCACTTTTTAGAGTGACAGTAGAGATTCTCCATTGACTGGCTATAAAAAAATTCCAGCACTCTGGAATTCCTCTATAATATTCTTATTTGTACATAAATGACCAACACATTCCTAGAGCCTGAACGTAGCATAGTAAGAGACCATCAGACTTAAATTACCAAACCTTTCAAATTAAGAATATTAAGGGAAAAAAACTAAGAATGAAAGAGCATCTGTGATTTAGCCAGGATAGAGCATTGGTAGGAGACCGAACAAACACCCCGAGTGGGCCCCTGACTTTTAAGCTAGTTGTCTCCCCAAAAGGGAACAGAATAGGATTCTAAAATATATCTCTAGAATAGCACTTGCAAACACCAGCGAAGTATTTCTGTGTGTATGTTGCATGTGCACACATGTGTGTACCATGTGTGTTTATACATTGTGTGTACACATGTGTGCACATATATGTTGCTGTTTGAATTGTTTTCATTTTCACGCTGATATAGTCAGTGTCAGTCAGTTGCATGAACAGGTTCCTTGGGTCAGGCGCACTTACTCATGCACGAGGGGCCTGGCCACCGTGCTCCCCTGGGTGTGAGCCTGGTAGAAGAGGGTGTAGAGATAGGGCAGCAGAGTGTAGCGGATTCTGAGGTAATTCCTGGAAGACGCCAGCAGCACAGATTCATCTCCAAAGGAGGCAGGGTCCTGAGCCTGGAGGAAGCAAGAGCGTGTAGCTGTCACCTGCCTACAAATAACAGAAGCAGGGCCCTCCCCAGGGGTGCAACGGGTAAGGACGCAGCACTGCAAGCTGGCCGCAGCCACTTCAGTACAGTTCAGGTCCCCGCCCCGGAGGTGACCACATGGCGCGGCAGACCTCTCCTGACCCGCCCGCTGCTCCCCTCAGCAGTGTGCTCCCTCTAACTGCCTGTTCTGCTCCCCACTCCGTCTCTGATGAATCCTCTCACCGCCCCTGCACCTCGGGCCTGTACCCAGTTCGGTAGGCATACATAAGTACATCTTGTAAAAAAAAAAAAATTATTCAGGGTATGAAGATCCTTGCAAAAAACAAACAACAGAAGCATCGGAGAGCTGCAGCGCCATCCTATGACCTGGGCACAGCTCAAGCCTGGCCGCTGAGCCGTCAGGCAGGGCCAAGAGCGAGGCTCCGCCCAGGCAGTGAGCACTGTGGCCTTTGGGAAGCGGCATGTCACCCCACTTGGGAAGAAGAAATTTGTATTATCACCCATTATAAACGCAGCCCTTTTAGAGTCTTTAGTTCCTCGGGATTCTCATCACAAATTGATTCTCATCACGGCAGACAGAGGACAGAAGTGTTCAAAAACCCCACCCGCTGCCTCCCTGACTGCTGCCGTAGAAACAGCAGCCTCCGGCGGTGGGGCTGTTTCCATGGGGACACACATGTGCCACCGGGTAGGAGTCCATCCCTACCAGGCTGCCGGTGCGGAAGCAGGCGCCACGTGCACTTTGCCCCTAGATCCCAGGAATTTACCTTGTAGCCTTGGCCATTGTGATTTCTGGAAAACGGATAAAATGCTCCCAACTGCATCCACCGCCTGCAGAGCTCCTCAGAGGTATCCAGCAAAAAGCCACATATGTCAGCACCCACCTGGGAGGACACACAGACAGTGGGAATAGCGCGCCGCCCTCACCCTCCACCTCTGCTTCACCGTCCACCAGTGGGGGCCCCCAGCTGAGCTGTGCTAGCCTCTCCCCGAGAGGGACACTACACTGTGGCCAGAACTGGGTGACAGCTGGCGTCCACGATCCCCAGGGGACTCCGAGTAAGCCAGTTACCGCTTCTGTACTCATGTCCCCCATTTTGATGAAGTGGGCAGCAATTAGTAATTAGCCACTTTTAGTAAGTGAAATCATGTAGGCAAAACACCTCACACAGACCAGCTTTTTGATGACTAGTAACTAAAATACTGCTGATCTTAATTAATGTTTCAAAGCTTGTCACCTAGTCAAAAATCTGCAGGGTTCCCTCACAGCTGAACTGATGAGCTCCTCAAAACCCACCCCTCCGTCACTCCACTGTGCACACCAGTCCCCACAGACGCTTCGAGCTCTCTCTGCCACCGCCCTCGCTCCTGTGTCTTTCTGAATCTTAAGGTGACCTGCCTCCAAGAGCCTGATAAAATACGCTCACTTCACAATGTTAAAGTTCAGGGTCCGCTTTTCCATCAAAGTTCTCTTGACTCCCTCCCCCTGAATGACACAAGCTATG